CAAGACTAGGGGTGCATAAGGTATGTGATTTCTTTTATTTAGACAGAAATCAGTTCTTAATATTTATTTTTATCGTGTCTAACATACCTAAATCTTTGGTATCCTGGGACAATAACTGTAACCGTAGTGACCACGTATCTTATCGACTTGTTCTCTAGGGTCCAATATAGTAACACGTAATCTTAGGTAACATCCAGTTGCTATAGTAACGCGTTTTTTCCATTCCAATTCTTCCTCGTCACTTTTTTTATTTTTATCATTTTAGACTCTTCAAAGAAATTGAGTGATGTTTTAAACGAATTCAAAGAACATGGAGTTCTATCTAAATATAATCCAGAAGGGGCAAGTTGTTGTATTTTTTTCCATTATAATCACGAAAATTCAATCGTTTAAATAATTATATAAACAGTGTATTTTTAGATTAAATTTAAAGTAGTTTTTCAATCTCTTGATAGGATATCGATTACGAGGGATTTCAGGTATTTATGGATACTTATCTGGAGATGGAGACACCCAGAGAGCTTGTGAAACGTCTTTTCCTGTCATTTGTCAAGAAACCAGTGCAACAGACGACAGTAGTTGATGGTCGAATGTTAAAAGTAAATCAATTTTTAAAAATATTTTCATTAAAAATTATTAAAAATTTTATTGAAATAAAAATCTAAAATTTAGTAAATTTTTTTTATCTCACTAAATTAAGATAACTTTTTATTTCTATTCTCTTTTCAAAAATGCCATTTAATCTCGGTCACGTTCTCTATTTTTAATATCCAAATTTCATATTTAATCTGAACATATTTGTTTATCCAAAATTGTCGAAATCACCTTTATTCTTCATGAGTTCAGCCTATAAAATTTTCTAAAATATAAACCCAGTAGGGAGGCGATAATAAAAATTCAAGATAAACCACAAAATTTTCTTAAATTGGCATCTTAAATTGGCCAAAACGCGTTACGAGGTCTTAGAAAAAATTTAAAAAATATTTATATATAAAAAGCCGTACACTTATCGCATTTTCAGAGAATTTAAGATAGGAGAGAAGAAAATTATTTACCAACTGCTAGAATTTTTTTTTTATTGCGTGATGGATTTTATTATAATTTTAAAACTTTATATCAGCTGACAATTTTTTTAAATATATATGTTTATTAATGTAGTTAAATATCATTTAGGTTTTTTAAATGATTTTTTTTCTTATTCAAAAATGTAATTTATAACTTCGTACCTTAATTAAAATTATTATACGTTTACTTATTAAAAACTGATTTAATTAAAAGTAAGCTTTAATACAGTTGTAACATTTTACTGTACCTATACTTTACATAATATTAAATTTATATTTGTACTTCACTAAATATTATAATGATGAAAACAATCATTTATAGAGAAAAATGATATTTATACTATTCTGAATCTGATAAATCTTTATAATTAGATTAACATAATTTTTATTATATTAATTTATAATTTAGANAGATATAACTCTTGTAGATATATAATAAGGAAATTATTTTAATTTATATAATCTTAAAATATAATAAAATATATTGCTTAAACTCTCTAAATAAATTTATGATTTAAAATCTTACAATTTAAAATGTAATTATAATAAATTTTAAATATAAAGTATTTTACAATAAAAGTTATGCAATATTTGTTAGTCATTAAGACTTAATAAATAATAGAAGCTGAATTTTTAACTTTTAAAAATTAAAGCGATTTTGTGTATAAATTAAAGTATATTATAATAGTTTATGTTAATATTATATTTTGTTAAAAACTAGTATACAACATTATCAAATTTGAGTTAATTCAACAACATTTTCTTTTAAATAAGTGAGTTTTAAATATTAAACACGTGTCGCTCGTTGGATCTTTTTAACTAAGTAAATGAAAATAATGTAGAAAACTTGATGCGTTAGTATGTAGAAAATTGTGATTTCTTTTATTTAGACAGAAATCAGTTCTTAATATTTATTTTTATCGTGTCTAACATACCTAAATCTTTGGTATCCTGGGACAATAACTGTAACCGTAGTGACCACGTATCTTATCGACTTGTTCTCTAGGGTCCAATATAGTAACACGTAATCTTAGGTAACATCCAGTTGCTATAGTAACGCGTTTTTTCCATTCCAATTCTTCCTCGTCACTTTTTTTATTTTTATCATTTTAGACTCTTCAAAGAAATTGAGTGATGTTTTAAACGAATTCAAAGAACATGGAGTTCTATCTAAATATAATCCAGAAGGGGCAAGTTGTTGTATTTTTTTCCATTATAATCACGAAAATTCAATCGTTTAAATAATTATATAAACAGTGTATTTTTAGATTAAATTTAAAGTAGTTTTTCAATCTCTTGATAGGATATCGATTACGAGGGATTTCAGGTATTTATGGATACTTATCTGGAGATGGAGACACCCAGAGAGCTTGTGAAACGTCTTTTCCTGTCATTTGTCAAGAAACCAGTGCAACAGACGACAGTAGTTGATGGTCGAATGTTAAAAGTAAATCAATTTTTAAAAATATTTTCACTTTATTAAAAGTAACTAAAATATCTCCGCATTTTATAAATTAAGCTATCGATAGATTGAAACATTTTAAATATTTTTAAAGAATAACATTAAATTTTCTTTGACTTTTAATTTATCTGTCATCGTCAATTATTAGTGTCATATTGTTATTCATTTTTCTAAAATATTTTAAAGAAATTTTGACATTTGAAAACTGAGGATAGAATTCTTAACTCGTATAAATCAATAAAAATCTTCTGGCATAATCATGAAAAGTGGTTTTTCAATTTTATTAAAGAAAATAGTTTGTAACTTTTTACTTGGTAGATATAGATTAATAAATCATTACTTTAACATTACTATTTTTTTACTACAAAAGCACTGTTTGAAGCTACAAAAGTAATGTTTTGACATAGCAAAACATTGCTTTTGTAGCTTCTGTGTCAAAAAATTATATAACCAACCACCCATATTTAAAATTGGTTAATTTATTAATAAGATACAGTAAATATTTCTGAAGTTAGATATTATTTGATTAACTTTTTAAAATAATTCCCAAAATACTTCAGAATTTCATTAATATAGAAGAGTTCAAGTATTATGGATCCAATAAGACTTCATCCCAAAAAGCTTCTCACTAAATTAAGTGGTATTTGATTATATCCTCTGTTCTCTTCTAGTAATGATTACATCTAAATGTATCTAGAACATCCGAACATGCCATATTGCAGCCATTACTTGCTATTATGGCATAGTTGAATTTTCCTGGAATGTTTTTTCCTTTCAAAAATTTACTATTGATAAAGCAAAATATGTGAAGAAATATCTTCAAATTTCATTCTTTATATTTTAATAATAACACAATTTGTTATCTAATTAAACTATAAATTAGGATTATAAATCTACTGATCTCATGATTCATTAGAACATTTGTGAACTTCTGTGAACAGTTTATACATAAATATTTAGTCTTTTGAAAATTAATTCTACAGAGTAATTATAATTTATAAAAATCGATCTTTGTTTGGTACATTTTGGAAAATTATACTTCTGTTTTATAGATAGCAGCTGTAACATCAACGACTGCGTGTGCTCCACTTACTCCTCACACAGGATCAATGCCCGATCTAGCTAAAGAAATACATTTAGAGACAAAAGAAGATAAACATTATAGTTTAGCAGAAAAGTTACACGGTTTGACGGAAAAATTCCAGAATTTAGGTCATCACAGAAGCGATAGTGATAGCACCTCTAGAGGGAGAGCTGGTACGTAATTATTTCAATGTTAATAATAAAAAAAACAAACAAATACTTGAAAAATTTGCATGTTATAAAAATATTTAAATATTGGACTTTAAATAATGAAAAATAAATTAAATTATTAAAATGTTAAATAATCAGTTGGAATAAATTACATGATTTAACATTAAAAAGCATGTTATTTGTGTTTAAAACTTCTTTTATTCATAGCAAGTAACCAAATTTATATTTTATATCTGAATAAAATTCTAAAGACTGAAATCGCAAAATTTCTATCGACCTTATACTTTTCGCTTAAAGAGAATATAAATTTTAAAAAATTAATTTATTGTTCTAAACTTTCATTTTAATTATTATTTTTATAATTAAATTTAAAAACTTTCTTAAAATTCGTATTCGATGTATTGATTTTCTAAATTAACAAAGAAAAATATTTATAAATCCAATTTTTAAAGCATGAATTCGATTATAAATTAATAATTAACAATGATAAATTAAACTAATCATTTCAACAACAACAGAAACTTAATAATTTGATTGAAATTCAGCAACAAAAGGATGAAGTTCAATAGCATTGAAATTCGGTCTTTTATCTCTTTCAAACATCTTATTTACTAATGTTATTGTAATCTTTAACAATGAATAGAAGCTATCCGTGTTATTTTAAAATTCGCAGGTCAATAATCAATAAACAGTTATTAATTATTATAAATTTCTCAATTCTCTCTTAAAATATTTATGAATATATCAAATAATAAATAATCTATGTAATTTAATTATTACGATACATTTAATTAAGTTCAAAGTAATTATATTTTCACAGGAAGTGCTACTATTCATCCGATTGTCACCGTTACTCATAATTATGGAGATAAATCTTTGGATTCCTCTCCAAATAACAGTCAAGTATCTCGAAATTCATCAAGAAAATCGAATAGTTCTACTCTAATACACAGTGGTAAGCTTTAAATAACGCTTTAATTCAATTTGGCATGATCATGTTTATATTTACTAACGAAATTGTTGATGAATTTATCTTAATATCTTTTTTTATTTATAAACATAGAAAAGGCAAGGATTATTGTATAATCTATATCAGAGATACGCAAACTGTAAATCGTATCCTCTTCAGAACAATTCCAAAATTCACGGTCCCTTCTCAACTCACGAATAAATAAAAAACTGTTTCTATGTTAGCACAAATAAAGCAATATGAACAATCATTTTTTCTGTAAATAAACTAAGTCGCTAATTGGTAATTTTTGACTTTAATTAGATCAACCAAACACTTATCGCCCAAACTTGATGGGAATGCTCGTTGACAGTGTTCGAAACACACCGTATTGTTAATTGCTGAACACTCCAGCTGACAGTGACATGATCTATCATTGCACATGTTTTTTCACACTTCTATATACCAAGTAATCCTTGATGTGGTTATCATTATTATTTTTTTTTATTGATGCATCCAGCCTTATAAATATAGTATAATATTATTTATATCAAATATATACGAGTTTATATATAAAATAGAAAATTAGCAATGTTTTGTTTGAATATTTTTACATCAAAAACTTGAATATAAGTTTTAAAAATCTAGCAAATTTTTAACTTTGAAAATTTCTTCATGAATAGAAAGCAAGTATTATTCATCGATAATTTTTGCTGACGTATCCATTTCGTCTTTCTGACATTTTGTAATTTCAAATTTAAATCTCTCAATATTTCATAGCATCATTTATGCTCGGGTATTAACTGTAATTGCCATTAAAATCTAGAGGTGTCAAAGCTGTCACTCTCTAACTGTGTTTAACAACTTAAAATCTTTGCGGCTTTTAAAAGAACAAATGGACTTAAGATATTTAAGCTGCATGAAAATATTCATGATATTAGAGATGATAAAAGACGTCTAAGATTTCTTAATTTGTATTCGCCAATTTTCTTCTTCTAAAATATCAGTTGTGTCATCACATAAAAGCAAATATATTAAATTATCTATTTATGAAGACAAACGACTTGTTGATTTACATTTATTTAAAAAAAAACTAATGATAAATGTAACAAGATTTATTCAAAAATATATTTTGTTACGCTTTTTTTTTTTTTTTAAATTTACCAATGTTTGCAGTTTGTATTAATAGTTTCGAATATGCATGTGTAATTATTTATCATTCTAAGTTATAAGTTTAATGCTAATTTTTAAAATGTAAAAATAAAAAAAACTGAGTAGCTTAGTTGTTATTGTAATTAATAATTAGTTATAAATGGTAAAATCTTTCAGTTAAAATACATATTTTACATATTTTTGTTTTTCCGGGCTTTTTTGCAGGCCCACAGTAAGACGACCGAATGATGAGGCCCGATAGATCCCAAAAAATTCGTGTTTTTTGACTGCCCTGATTAGATTCCGGATTAGAGCGATTCGCTAATGCCTCAACTCCTCGTCCTACTTTGCATATAAAAATTTATAAAATTTAATATTAAAATTACGATAAACTAAATACACAATTAAATATTATTGATACTGATTTACTCAATGTTATATATTTTTCATTGAAATTAATATTAAACAATAATGGATTCACTAATTTTATTGTTAAGTTTGATTAAACGTTTTAATAACATTGAGAGGATATATTTTTTAAAAAAAATACTCGAACTTTTGTTTATATCATAATGCGAAAATATTTTATTCAATTTGGTGTCGAGAAAATAATAAGTTTATGCCAAAAATCATGAAATTCATAAAAAATGAAACAAAAATAAAATAAAATAAAAATTTATTTTCTAGTAGGTTTTTTTAAAATGAAATATAGAATTTTAGTTATTTCTTTTTTAAAAAATGAAAATTTATTGTTTCAGCTTTAAGAATTATTCATAAACAAGCGAAATTAAGCATAAAAAATAAACTGAAACTTTTGCATAATTTGTAAAGTTGATTATCAGAAAGAACGTGTCAAATTTCAGTCAAATATCGATGTAGCATCCTCCTAGACATAGCCATCCTGGTAAAGCTCTAATGAATGCTGGTAAATGGATCTTCTGCACAAATATTAAACACTTAGTAAATTCAGTACGATTTTGCATTTCCAAACACATTATTATTACCAAATCATATAGTAATGAAGTTTGAGTTTTAGTTTCAAACTTTTACAAATTTCATTACAATATATAATTCTTATTTGATGTACAGTACTTTAGTCTTAATCCACACTAGATTTAATGCGAATATCAGAGATGAGCAAATGGTGGCGTTACCGAAGTTTGGTTGTACAGTACATAATTTTGAGTTTTGTCTAATTTCATTTATTTTATTCAATGAGTTATGAAGATATAAACAGAGATCAGTTTGCTTTAAAACGAAAAATAATTATATACAGATTATCGAATATGTACAGAATTTGTATTTAAAATTAATTAGAGAAATATGAGTTTTAAAAATTGAAATATTATATAAAGGGAGTAATGGCAGTTCCGTTTCTAGAGAGCTAATAAAAAAAGGAACATTTTTAAATACAGTATCTCTTATTGAAGTAGAAACGTTTCAAGTTTTTACATGAATGCATTACAATGAATAAAATATTATTTAATACATTAAAGTCATGAGTTAAACAGAAAACAAACAATAAAAATTAATTTTCATACATGATTTTGATGTTACCGAAACCAAAAACTGGCCAAAAGTGCCACAACACGATAATTTAAAATTTTTTTCTATCGTCTGAAAATGTACTAAAGTCCAAATTTAGCATATGAAAAGCAATTTAGGGGTGTTAAAATGTTATGTATATCCCAGAAAAATTCCAAGGGTATTTTCCGACCGAATGGATTCGATCCGGGCTCCCTCGGATCGGTAGGATGTTGCCCAACCGTTTATTTAGGCCTCTATTTTTGGTAATATAGAATTAAACGCCTATGAAAATACGATAAAATTGTTTTCTTTTTAATCTATAATTTTATTTATTAAATAAAAATTTTTTGATTAAGCTCTCTGTTGCAATATTAAAAAGATCAAGGAAAGTTTCGATTCCTTTCAGAATAAATTAAAACGAAAATAAACACAATTTACATTGAAATAAAACAAAATTTATTGTTGCGCTCGTTCAAAAGAAATCTGTTGTCATTAGAACCTATGAGAAATCTATTAATCCTATTATAAAGACAAAAAAACAAATCTAATTCTGCATCTCTTAGATCTCATTTGTCAAACTTGTATAATCTCATGATCAAAATACAATTCGATGGAAATTTTAATAAATCATCAAATCTTCATTTTATAACAACAAAAATTGATTTTATTCTAATTTTTTAAACCTGTTTTAACAGTTCAATTTTTTTCTAATTTTATTGTTTAAATTTATATCTGCAATAGTAATTTTATTATAAAAATATAATTTTATTAAATGTAATCATTAATTTCTTAAATATTATTTGATTCCTTGCAGGTTATATGAATCAATCAGATTCAAAAACTGACTTTCAATACGTAAAATTTAAAATTATTCATTCTAAGAAATTCTAAATTAATTAACAAGATTATCATTTTGTTTTATCATCAAATTTATATTTAAATTTCCGTTTCAATGAACTAGAAAATCAGCAAAGAAAGAATTTAATTTAGTCGAATTTAAGACAAAAATTAATTATTTATCGATTAAAAAAAAAAATCTTAAAACTGTTCATAAAACGCGTAAACATTTTAAAACATAACGTAATGCACCTCGTCTAATTCCATAAAATAATTTACGAGTATCAGAAGCAACGCCGCAAATCACTTCTCATTCTATCAAATGTAAATAACGTCGAAAATAGAAGCGAAGAAAAACACATGTTCGACATTTACCGAATAAATGACTTTGCAACTCTAAGTTAATGCCTCTTCTGCATTGCTTTCGCTTCTGACGTGATAATGACAAACGTTGCTCTGACAACTAACTAATACAGATAAATACTGTTAAGGCTAATGTCAGTTTATCGCCTCTAGAGATGTCTCTTCATCCTTATATTGATTGTTTAGGAATAGAAAAACAGCTTTGTTTTATTTTAATTAATTAATTTATTTATTTATTTTTTAGAAATTTACTTTAAAACTTATGCTTTAACTATTATTTTCGAGGAAAAATTTTTGATGAAATAAAATAAAACAGAGAAAACATTAATAATCTAATTGAAAATTCAATTGTTTTATAATATTTCTTCGTTAACTCGATTATGGTTTTTTTTTTGCTTTTCTCATTTCGGGTATTTTGAATTTGTTTAGCGAGAAAAACATCACTAAAATAAACTTAAGTAATTGTTTATTCTTTTAATGGAAATTAGAAGATTCTATTTATGGAAAATTATAGAAAACATTCGTTTAGATGCAATATATTTTGGTATATACTCGTACTGATAATGGTCATTAATATAGCCTAAGTAATGTGTTTATTTTTAAAATATATATTTATAAAAATCGATTTTTCAGTCTGCTTTGATTTAACTTTACCTAGAAGATGAATTTTTGTAGCAGAAATCTTATATGATGTTTGTAATTTCGAGAGTTTTTAATTTCATAAAAAAATTCTTAAAGGATTTTTCTAAATAAAATTTATGCTTTATAGTTAAATATTTTGTTAAAATAAAAAGTATAAAAACCGAAAATATTAAGGAAAAAGTTTTTTTTTTAATATCAATGCTTTAAAAAAGCGAAAATATCAATTGAATTTAAACTTAGATTTTGGAATTTTTGTGTTTTGAATACATGTAAATATTTTTATATTAAATTTTATAATTTAGTAGATTAATTTTAAGAAATAAATTCCATATAAAAAATAGGTGTTTTGATCTTGATAGTTTAATATTTAATTTATATTCTAATAAATGAAAACAAAAGTGAAAAATGCATGTAAGAGAATTTGGCTTATTTTTTGAGGTGGAAACAAGAATTAAAATTATTCAGAAGAAAAATAAAGGAATAAAAAATCCTATTGTGATTTTTTTCGGCCACAACTCGTAATTAATTAAAAGAAATTGAATATAAAAACTAATCATAAAACAAAATGATATTTACGACTTTGAATCTTTACGTTTCAGTTGATTTGAAGCCTCCAAGGAAGGCCAGCAGCCACATCGATGTTCTCTCCCTTCGCGTTCCTCTCAAGGATATCGTCTGCTACTTATCATTGCTGGAAGGAGGGAGGCCCGAGGATAAGTTGGAATGTAAGTTGCTGATCTTTCTAATTGTTCAAAAGATATTCCAAGTCTTGAATAGAATATCGTTAAAAGTCACGTCTTCTTACAACTGCCATTAAATGCATTCATACGAAAAAAAAGTCGCAAGCAGAAGAATTTTGAACAGTTTTTTTACACGTATTTTTTTCAACTATTTGCTTAACTGTATATATTTATTAAATAGAATTACATGTTTTATTTTTGATAAATTCTAATATAAATTTCAGTTATGTTTCGTCTATATGATACCGATGGAAATGGCTACCTCGACAGTAACGTAAGTTTTTTTTTTTTTTTTTCTTTCTTAACTTCGGCATATCTACTTTCATTTTCTGTTACGTCTCATTAATTTTTCCCATTTTATATATTAAAATTTCCTTTTATAAAGTTTAAAAAAAGCAACGAATAGAGAACTTATTGATTACCGCTTCATTTTTTTTTCTTTATTGTTTTTCTGTAAATATACAGTATATTAAGGTAAGGTTTTGTGTCTTCGTAAATAATTTCAACTTTAAATGTGTTTGTTTATAAATATCATTTAGAAAAATAATTTTATTTTCAACTTTAATAACTGGTAAAGAATTGGGCCAAACTCCAAAAATTAAAGAGTAACGAAAAAATAAAATATCGTAGATAATTGACCTCCATTTAAATATTAAAATTTTCTTTTACTTGTTATCTAGTTCATGCAGTTTTTAATAAGAATACAGTAACATGAAAGTGTATAGACACATTGATATGAAAATCAATGGCACAGAAACTATTCGGACCATTAAATTTATACGCCTATACATTGTTTTCATTCTTATAATTTGATATATATTGTAATTTTAAAATAGTAAAATTGCATTAATAATATTTCGTATGAATTAAATTCTAAAGCTGTTTATTATGAATAAAATATAATTTGTCGTTATATTTTAAATTATGTCATTTTTTTCTTTACGATAAACATAAATTTTAATATTTGTTATGTTTAAATTTTATAGATTTACTTAAACCTGATTTTTTTTTTTTAAATGTTTATTTAAGAGTAAATCTTGATGTAATTAAAAAATTTTGAATAGTAGATGTTCAAAGATTGGTTTATGGAAGATTTTCGAAATTCTTTCAGAAGATATTTTATTATTTGATTTTCTTTTTTGCACGTTTTTGTGTTTCTTTCGTTCTGCAAATACTTTTTTATATCCTTGATACTTAGCTTTTATTTTATTCCATTTGCTACTTTCTTCAGATGACTTTTTATAAATTTCGATAGATTTTGATGAATAATTGTTCATTTCATCTATTGAAATAGAAATCCTTGAAGTTTCTTCTCTTGGGATTTCCTGGATTGAATTTTTTGTAAAAATTTCAGAAATAACTTGAGAAGATTTTCTAATGTGTTTCTTTGGCTTCTCTAAAATCATATACGCTCGTTTATGTCGATTAGGCTCTCTCGAATCCTGGTTTTTATTTTCTCTCTTCTCTTTTTCGTTAAAGATGGAAGAATCCTTCACGAATCTTTCTTCTGTCTGATCGTAAAACGAAATTACATCGATTTTTAATTCAGAAGTTTTCTCTTCGTGAACCTTTTGTTTTGGTGATTGTTTATTTATTGAGGCGCCAGATTTACAACTCGATAAAAGTTGATTATTAGACGTTGACGAAAGTAGTCTAATACTATTTGGATCAGTTCGAACTAAAGTTGAAAAATGTGTCAACGGAGGAAGAGTTCTAGAACTGTGGCGAAACGAAAATAAATTTCTATCATTTTGAGATGTCTCGAACTTCTGTCTAGCTTGTGAAAATATATGAATGATCTCTTTCGGTCTTATACAACAAACCAAAGATATAGTTAGAGATGCAGGAGAGCACTCCGATGAAACTATGATCATATGATTATGCGCTGAAGGCTCTATTACACTTGAAGAATTCACTTTGACTGTAGGAAGAAGGTGTTGAGTAATTTCTTCAATAAAAAAATTTTGATACGGATGACGCGATACGGGAGGTACAAAAATAATCGATTTTAATATTATTCTCAATGGCTCTTCCAAAATTTTTGTATTTGATTGCATCAATTCGGGAGGATTTGAAATCACCAATGACTCTTCTTTCACTTTTGGTGAATATTCTGTCACTTTTAGAGCCATTTCTACATTTTTAGTTTCTGAGTCTTTTAAATCTGTAATATGATGATAAAATCCGGTTTCTGACATTAACTCAAATTTCTTCGTTGGATTCTCGATTAGTTTATTATTAAATGAAGATTTGTTCAATTTAGTTTTATTTGTTCGTATTGAAGGCGCATCCGTTGCTGAAACATTTTTGTTTACTTCTTTTATGATATTGCCTTTATAAGGCTGAATTATTAAAATCTGATTATCCAATGTTATCTCATGTGGTTGAAAAGATGAGGAAATGGGAAGAGCTGATTCAAATTCTGGTTCAGATATTATAGAGGCTGCATGTTTCTCAATTGAAAATTTTCTGTTGTTTGAATGATAATTATTCACATTTAATAATTCTTCATAGTTAATAAAATGATTGCTTATTTTTATTTCATGTTTTTCTAATTGATCACTACTTTCATCAAACTTCATAAATTTATCCTGTTTGATATTTAGACAAAACAATTCATTTACTGATTTTCCTAAACTTTTTCTCCATGAATTAGTTATAGATAACTTATCGAAATTTTTCGAATATTTTAAAAATTTAATAAAATCTTCGTAGTTTATTTCTTCACTTTCTTTAGTCTGATCCGAAGTTTCTGAACACGTATAACTTATTTGAGATAAGTTGCGTGTCTTATTTGTTTCTATACGTTTTGATGTTGTAGCATCTCCGTCATAATCTTTAATGTTTTTAAATAATATCCCTTCTTCTATTTTATCTCTTTCATTATAACTTTTGTCTGTCTCCAAGAAAAGTTTTTTCAAAATTTCTATTAAGTCATTAATTAATTTTCGACGTATTTGATTTTTAGAGACTAATTGTATAGATTCATGTTGTAATATTTCTTGTAAGGCTTGCTTCACATCTTTTTTCTGATCAAAACTAGGAATGATATTTTGATAATTTTTAAAGTAAAATAGTTCATTGATTTCGTTATTATTGATTTTATTGGAGATTGAAAAAGTGTTTAACTCTGAATAGATATTTGAATGATTTTTCAGAAATTTTTGCATTATATACTCTTTATCAAGACCTAATTTATTTATGCTTTGGACAGATATTGAACTTAATTGTTCTACTAAATATCTTTTTCTTCCAAGATCATCTAAACAATTATAAATTATCCAATTTATTTCAGTTTTAAATATTTAAAACATATTTTAAATAACACGAGCCAGATTATATTACACTTAAATTTGTTTTCGGGAATTTAATTAATATCTATTAATATTTTATCATATGAATTTGTAGAATATCAAGTTAGATGCTTAATAATATTTTTATTTATTAAAATGTTTAAAAAATAATAAATAAATAAAATTTCTAGTTTATTGCTATTTATGATAAAATTATTTTAAAAAAGAATAATTAATTAGATAATTTTTAAAGCCAGAAATATAATTAATTAAAAATTAAAGTTATATAAAGTTTAATTTTATAATCGAAAACTCCAATAAATGAAATCGTTAAGGATTATTTGAAAATCACGATAACAAAATATATTTAAAAAACTATAGCATATAATCAAGGTCATGTTAATTTAAAAAAAATTTTGTAAATAAGTTTACCTTTGTTTAAATTTTGCAGTCTTTGGAGATTTATATTTTCATGAATATAATTGTTTTTATTATAGTTAAAACTTTCATAGAAACTATTACTGGAAATGCTATATTTTCTCTTGTTTGTCTTTATAGAATGAGAAGAATTAGAATAATCGATTGCACCTTTAGTATAATTCTTCCATAAATTTTTCACAAAACTTTTAAAACTTCGCTTCTTATTTTTTCTTTCAATTGTTTTAGAAGTTATATCCGTATATTTTGTTACTTTGCTCATATTTTACCTTCAAAATAATATCTAATTCTTTGATGATTTTCGATGGCATCCGTGTATAAGAAATCGTCTTATACATTGAAGACGTAGAAAGTTTCCGATAGTGTTTCAAACTTAAATAATAATCAATTATTGATGTAAAAAAGAAATCATTTTAATTGTTATTTTTTAATAAATCTTAAAAATTTAACTTATAAGAAAATTAACATAAAACGTATTTATTTTGTAAGATAAGATATAAGCAAATAAAATTAAATCTAACGAAAAATAAATTATATAAATTAAAAATTTAAAAAAAAGTTGTTGATGTTATTTTAATTATATTTAAATAATGAAGTTTATTAAATATATTTTTAAATAAGTTTCAAGTTACTTCGTTAATTATGAAAATAAAATTAAGTTTTAAATTACAGGTTAAACTATTCAAGAAATAAATAAAAATACAAAAGAAAAATATACTTTAATGCAGATTTTTTTAATATATTTATATTATTACAAAAAGAGCTCTTCAATCATTATATTACTTTAAAGATTGACATTAAGAAGATACATTTTCCATTTGAGATCATTCCTATTAAGTAAAGTTTTTCTTAAGAGCAATTTTCTTCTACAAAAATCGAGTTTTAGAAACTGCATAAAAGAACTTAAGAGAGTTATTGTAATGGGGAAAATTTAATTACAAAACTTTTAAAGCAAGAAATTCCATTTAATAGAAAAAGCAATATGTTTCAGGTTTCATTATTACTTAAATTAAGATAAATGTAATGTAAACAACGACCCACGGTTATTACAACAAAATGTTAAATTTAGCTTTGAAACGTTAATGTTATCTCTAATAAAGCTAATTTATTTTTATAAGATCTTACCAGAAACATTTTTCTTGTAGGAGATGGATTGCATTGTTAATCAAATGATGAGTGTGGCTGAATATCTTGGGTGGGACGTCACCGAGTTAAAACCAGTAAGATATATATTTGAACTATTTTAATCGCTTAAGAGTTATTTTATATCCGACTTATTTGTTCTGTTAAGTAATTATGATAAATCGATTTAGATCTTACAAGATATGATGGTCGAGATAGACTACGATGCTGACGGAACAGTTTCTATGGATGAATGGAAAAGAGGAGGATTAACGACTATACCTCTTCTTGTTCTCCTGGGATTAGATGCTGTAAGGTTTATGTTGTTTTTGTTAAAGCTAATGGATAAATAATATAAATTCAATAATCTTTTTAGGCAAATTATGAGGAAATCGATAATAAATCTTATTAAGTATAACTATAAGATTCATTGGCATATATAATTATAGATGTATATATGGGTATATTAACATAAATTATATGTTATACAATTATATACCAAAAGGGACTACATGCCAAAAGATCTTTTCCAGAAGTCTCCTGGGAAAAAAATTTAATATCAATATAGTGTGATTAGAAAGATAAAATTATGTAATTGTTATTGTACTACAAAAATATTTTATATGATTAACATTATATTAAAATTTAACTAGAATGTGAAAGACGACGGTAACCATGTTTGGAGATTGAAGCATTTCAATAGGCCTGCTTACTGTAATTTATGTCTCAATATGTTAGTCGGCTTAGGAAAAAAAGGACTTTGTTGTGTTTGTAAGTATAAAATATTTATTTTCTAATGTTTAATTATGATTATATAATAATTGAAATAAAGCAAAAATAATTTTATACTATTTAAAGATTAATATTTTACGCATTTTTTAAAATAGTTTGCAAATATACGGTTCACGAAAGATGTGTTCAAAGAGCACCCGCTTCTTGTATAGCTACTTATGTTAAGTCTAAGAAAACATCACAAGTAAATACCTAATACATATATATATATAATACGGATATAATTATTAAATAACTAATACATTTTTTTTTTATTTTAACATAGGCGATGGCACATCATTGGACAGAAGGTAATTGCACTGGTAAATGTAGTAAATGCAAGAAACCGATTAAATCTTACAACGGTATAACCGGACTACATTGTAGATGGTGCCAAATGACGGTAAAATATTGTTGTTTACAATATTTTCACTGAAAATTGTATTAAAAATTTATATTTGAAAACTGTCAACATACTTTCAGCTTCACAATCATTGTGCCTCACAAGTCAAGCCCGAATGTACTTTAGGAGAGCACAGAGACCACATTCTTCCTCCTATATCAATTTGCCCAACTGTTTTAGTGAGTTTATTTCTATAAATATTCTGCACGAGTTTTACTCTTATAAAATTTTACTTTTGTTTTTTTATAATAAAAATTCAGGAACGTCAAAGAAGTGTATCTGCAGGGCAGAAAAAGAATTTATCTCGAACTGATTCTGTTGCTCCAAATGAAGGAGGACATAACGTGGTTTGTAATCATTGTTATTATTATTATTATTTCAATTTGAAATTATAAGTTATAATTAAATTTAATATTAATCAAATATCGAAAAATGTATAAATGTAATTATCTTTATTTCTAAAAATTCTAATTCGATTAGGAAACGTCAGGTGTAATTATATAAATTTTTTCTGTTTTTAAAAAAATTTTCGGTTGTAAACATTTTCTGTTTAGAAAAAAAATCAATAGGAAAGTTATAGAATGTGCTGATTTTAACATTGTATCGAATTTATAAAATCAGAAATATAGATCTGACTAGAATATAATAAGAATTCGGTTAAGAAAAGCACGTTTTCCTCTTGGATATGATTTATACGTGACAAAATTTTTAATATACGTCTTTTTTGATTTTAAATTAAATATAATAATATCTATATTTAATATATTAATTTGTTCAAATTCTTATATGTGTAGGTATCACCGGTATCATTCCAAATCACTCCTTTACCTGGAACACATCCTCTCCTCGTGCTAATCAATCCGAAGAGTGGAGGAAGACAAGGGATGAGGTAAAACCTTTTGTAGTTAATTAAATATATAATGTTTTAATAATGTACGCAAGGCTTGTGATTATAAGATATTAATAGATTAAATGCGATAATAAACATTGTGTAAAAAAAAAGAATATTTAAGTTATATAAGAGAATCAATTACCAGTACGATATGTAATTTTCATCGCATTTCAAGACTTTTATCTTATTTTTATATATCTAAATAAATTAATATTATTAAAAATACATTTCTCATAAATCTTCGATTTTTCGTTTACTCCAAATCATTTTATTTTAACAATTTATTGTCAAATTCAATAAATAGCATCAAATTTTACAGGGAGGGGGGAATTAAAAGAGAAGAAAAATAACGCGGCAAGTGATTTTCAATCCAACAAAAGAAACAAAAAAATATAATCGATTTTCTTACAACAAAAGTCTTTGAAAGTAGTATATATAATCAAAATACTCCTTTCAGAATATTTTAAATAGATTCCTTTACAAAATAACAATGAATATAAAAAATTCAAAACTATATATTGACTTAAAAATCGGAAAAGTTGCAAAACTTTTTAACATTTGTTTAATAAACAATAGTTTTTAAAAGTGAAACGAAAAACGACTTATTTATTTTGTTTAATGAATAAAATTCCGGATTAATTTCTATAGAATATCTGACAATTTCTAAAGATAATGTGGATAAAATAATATAGATATGTTTTATTATTTAAGCTTACAATTTTGTGGAAATTTTGCAGTTATTTTTTTAACTTTATGTGCGTCTTTTGTAGTTTAATATTTCTTTCAAAAAACTATTATAGTTTATTTTTTTCAAGTGCTCTAACTTTTACTTCTTCGCGTACTAATGTAATTAGTTTTTTGCACTTTGATATCTTTCAAACAGCAAAAAATGATATATTTTTACATTGATTTTTATTAGCTGAGATCTACTTCAAAATAAAGATAACACAGCTAATAGTATTTTATATTTTTAACCTATTTGGCTCAGAATTATTTTAAATGAATAATTTTCTTATTCATTTATGGCCTTTTACCCCCCTGTAGGTACTGCGAGGGCTATTTCCATAACCAAAGAGGGTCCTATCAGGCCTACAATGGGAGGTCAGGTGAACCCCGCTCCTCAGTTGACTGAATGAGGCAACTGAGGAGCGTGGTTCAACTGATCCCCGCTCCTCAATGCTCAATGAGGCAATGAAATTAAATAAATTTATTTATCTATCCACACATTTTTATCCACTAGTTTATCCACATACGAATGTTATTTTAATTTGTTTCATTATTACTTTTTATTTATTTATATTCTTCTTTAAAGGTATCGATTAACCTTTTAGATATTTATCGAGAACAAAATTCTTTCGCAAATAACACATTATCTATATAATTTTTTTATAATAATAATTATTTTCTTTATTATTTCATGTGATAAATTCCTTTATGAATAGAAAATAGCGAATTTTTAATATTTTATTTCATCGTTCTTGCAGAATTTGATATAGATTAATTTTTACTTTCTCGGCTACTATATATAACAGAGGGAAAGTATGGCGATCGGTCAAAGAAATGAGCCTCTAAGATTTTTAAATTTTTGGACTGAAGGAATCTTGAAATGTCAAGAAATTCAAAAAAATCCAGGGTTTTTTTTTTCTAAATTTTGCAGTGGTTTGTGTATTCGGGGAATTGATAATATTACATTTTGATGATTAAAGGTTGAGAAGGTGGGAGACAGAGGAAGTCGTATGTCGTATTTCGAGTAAGGTAGGGCTTAATGAAGATTTTACTCGTTTTTGGGCTGCAATTTGAAAAAAAAATTGTAGACCTATAAATTCCCACTTTCGTCTATCTGTCCGTCTGTCTTTCCTTAATCTCGAGAACGGAATTAAATAAATGAAATCCGAGTTTGGGAAGCTTAGGGCATCAGGCCCCGATTAACTGTATATCGAACGTTTCCCTATAAGGAATTAGATGACCGCCACGACTCCATTGATAAGTATTATGTACACGGGCAAGAGACTATTATTTTGAGGTGGAGAGCATATATTTTAAATTAAATAAATTAAAAATATAATATTAAAAATTTCAGTCCGGCATTGTGACGACGTCACAACAAACAATTGCTCGTTAGCATTTATAATTATTATTTTTTTATTATTATAAAACTCATCTCTAGCTTAAAAATTATGCTTTTTGATATATTTAAATATAATTGAACCTGTCTATCTCAAACATGTTTATCTCGAAAACCTCTTTATCGCGAAACTTATTTTTTCCTTTGCATTTTCAACATAAATTTAATAATTTTTCCTTGATTATCTCGAATAATTTTCTCCCAAAACCGCTATATCTCAAATTATAGACTGAAGAACAATTACAAATTCAAAACTCAGCGACTACATTTTAATAGAATGAATTGCAGTTGATGAACATCTCTTGCATTATAGTACATAGTTGTAATTAATGCTGCTTTTCTCTGGCTACGAGTTTGGTTTGCATCTTATTAATTGCAGAGAGTTTGGCATCAGAACTATTGACGAACTATTTTTTTAAGGTTTGTCAAAAATGAACTTTATTTTGTACCTAATACGGGTGTATAGTGTACTGTACTTGCTATTATATTAATAAAATACTATACTTCCAGTTAAAGCTATTACTGTTTACTGTGTAAGAACCTATCTCGAATTATTTTCTTTCCCGTGAGATTCGAGATAGGTTCAACTGTAATTAATAAGTTGTTAATAATATATCATAACAGATGGCGCCACTAAAATTTTAAATTTTTTTTGTCGGGAAAGTTATGCAACTCGTTGCTGGAGTTTTTTCCTAAGATTTAAAATTATCATTTACTATTAAAAAGTTAAACTTTTAAGTTTTTATTTATAAAAAAAATGAAATTTACTGTATATATAATTTTTATTATATTTTTATTAATATTTCAATNCATGATACTAGCTCGAAGTTGGTGACGATGGCGTCTCCGGGGAAGTTATGCAAATCGTTGCTGGAATTGTTTTAATTGGGCTAACTTCCTCTTTTGGCTAACTTTGGACTCTTCTGGATTTGTCACTGAGACCTTAAGCATTGGAACAACTTTTTCAGTGTTAATTAACCAAAATATATTATTCAATTATTGTAATTAAATTTTAATTTCAAAATATTGGGAAAAATTCCTAAAGTAATTCCATAAAATTTTTAACACAGTTTGAAAATAAATTGAATCTTGACTTCTTTAGTGATAAACATAAATTTTGCTAAAGGGAACTAATCACACAGAGAACACACCGGTAATTGAGTATGCCAACTTTATTATACAAGGAAACTTTATTTTCCTTGTGTAATAAAGTTGGCATAGTCAATTACCGGTGTGTTCTTTGTGTGATTAGTTCCTTCAGCAAAATTTATGCTTATCACTAAAGAATCCAGCAGGAGAACGAGTAATAATTAAACAACAAATGAATCTTGACTACCTATTAATTTCAAAATATAGATGTTTAATAAAAATAATTTAATAAATAAAATATATATACAATATTCTCTTGTTTTCAATGTTTTTAGCATATGATAAGACATACATTTCTCTTCTCGTTTCTATTTAATTTATTGAATACTTAATGAATTTGAAATAATTAATAATCTGAATAATTTTTAATAAAATGATATCAAGTATCATTAAAAGTTACTATAATTAAAACTTTAAATATAATTTCGAATTAATTCGAAGATTATTATAAAGTGATTTAACATAAGTTATATTCATATACATCAGCATATTGAATAATACAATATGTAAACATCACATATTATAATGATTATTATGATATGTGATGTTTACATATTGTATTATTCAATATGCTGATGTATATGAATATAACTTATGTTAAATCACTTTATAATAATCTTCGAATTAATTCGAAATTATATTTAAAGTTTTAATTATAGTAACTTTTAATGATACTTGATATCATTTTATTAAAAATTATTCAGATTATTAATTATTTCAAATTCATTAAGTATTCAATAAATTAAATAGAAACGAGAAGAGAAATGTATGTCTTATCATATGCTAAAAACATTGAAAACAAGAGAATATTGTATATATATTTTATTTATTAAATTATTTTTATTAAACATCTATATTTTGAAATTAATAGGTAGTCAAGATTCATTTGTTGTTTAATTATTACTCGTTCTCCTGCTGGATTCTTTAGTGATAAGCATAAATTTTGCTGAAGGAACTAATCACACAAAGAACACACCGGTAATTGACTATGCCAACTTTATTACACAAGGAAAATAAAGTTTCCTTGTATAATAAAGTTGGCATACTCAATTACCGGTGTGTTCTCTGTGTGATTAGTTCCCTTTAGCAAAATTTATGTTTATCACTAAAGAAGTCAAGATTCAATTTATTTTCAAACTGTGTTAAAAATTTTATGGAATTACTTTAGGAATTTTTCCCAATATTTTGAAATTAAAATTTAATTACAATAATTGAATAATATATTTTGGTTAATTAACACTGAAAAAGTTGTTCCAATGCTTAAGGTCTCAGTGACAAATCCAGAAGAGTCCAAAGTTAGCCAAAAGAGGAAGTTAGCCCAATTAAAACAATTCCAGCAACGATTTGCATAACTTCCCCGGAGACGCCATCGTCACCAACTTCGAGCTAGTATCATGGCAGAACTAGCTCGCAAGTTAAAAAATTGTGTATAGAGCCATCTATTACGAGATGTTATTGAAAAATAACTTGTATACAGTATTATTAATTATTATAAAAACACAAAAGGCTTAATTTTCGAATTAGAAATGAGTTTTTATTTATCGTAAAAAATCATAAATGACAATAACGAGTAAAATTTTCACTAGTCCGACCCCACTTGAGATGTAATACATGATCCCCTTTATATTCTCCTCCGCGACTTTAACCACCAAAATATAATAGCATCAGTGCTTATATATAAATTACTATGCCGAATTTCGTTTCTTAGTCTTTATCCTATTCTAAGATACTAAACGAAATACACACACACACATCTTGGGAATTTTTTGACCTTTTAGGTTAAGGGTTCTCCAAAACGTCGAGATTTGTAAAAAATCCCGGAGAGTCAAATTTCACACAACTATCAATATTTTCCTGTTATATACATAGCAACAGAAAAAATAATTAAAATTTTTGACTAATTATAAGGGTCTTTTATTAACACGTGCAAGACGATTGTATTGCGGATAATCCGATAAACTATATTTACCACTATAAATATTTTTAAAAATAACGTTTTGAAGTTAGAATAAATTCATTTTAATTGTGTTTTTTTGTGTCAATGGGGAGGACTCAAGCCCCTGTTGTCCCTCGTGGGCCCGCCCTGAGAAGTTCTATGCACAATAAATACGAATCTTATTGTGTGTGTATTCGCTCTTAACGCGACTGGAACACACTTATCGCGTTCGGACATTGAATATAACTATCTCCTTAACTGTATTTTATATGCAGATCGTGCTTTCATGTTCTCTAGTGAGGGAATATAATTTTGCAATTTTCATAATTAAAAAAGAACCTCTTCCGTACACAATACGAACAAGAAGATAAATTCAACATCCGGATGCAGAACGTTCCAGTCGAATGAAGAAAAGGTTCTTCGTTATGCACGGACATTTTCAAACATCAGAACAATTTTTGAAAGGAATGAGTAACCCAAAACAGATGCCACGAAAGATTTTAGTGTGTGTATGTTCCTACTGTCAGCAATTTTTATTTATTTTCCTTATAAAATTCATATTTATATTTCGTAATAAATATATTTACTATATCTTAATTAATAAGATCTCAAAAAGATGTTACATACATTAATATTGTAAATACAATAAATCCACAACGATATAACTGGACTATATTGTAGACGGTGCCAAATGGAGGCAAAATATGCTATTTGCAATATTTTCACTGAAAACGGTATTAAAAATTTATAATCGGACTGACAGGAGGTGAATGTTGTCCGATTTACGAAAGTCCGAATTAGCGGAGGTTTACTGTATTATATATATTATAATATGTATTTAATATATATCGCATTAATATTTTAATAATATTAAAAATACAATCATTTTATAAAAATATGATGTTCAGGTAAATTTGCCATTTATTTCTTCAAATAAATTATGAGTCTGGATAATTATATCTGCAATATCTGCAAAGAATTAGAGGATAAACACACTTTCAGAATATTTAGTACGTATAAAGGTCACATAACTCTGTTCTGTTTCTTCTGAAGTTTATGAATTTGCAAAACACATTTAAATTTCCACCTAATTTCATAATTGATAAATGCATACTAATTAAACTAATTATTAAATATTAAAAAAACTTTGATTAACATAATATATTTTAGGACCGTTTTCTATTTCTATTATTTGAAAATAATATTTTCCCTATAAAATTATATAGTGTGACAAACATAAAAATTCTAAATTATGAAAAAAATGTCTTAATTTTTTAAAATATTAAAAAATATTTTAATATTTTTAAAATATTAAAATATTTTAATATTTTAATATTTTATTATTTCAAGCATCAGAACAATTTTTAAATAAATGTCAGCTTGTACTGTAAGATTGAGTATATATAATCTTAATATTATTCATTTGTTACTAAATTTAAAAATCATCATTGTAATAAAACTTTAGTGTGAATTTATGAAATAAATATTAATAAAAATATAATCATATATTTAGGCTATATTATAATAACAGTATAATTCTATTAAACTAAACCATTATAACAATGTTTGAAATTAAATGTTGCAATTTTCAAATTACGTAAATATATACATACATCTACAATCTATATATTTATATAAATACGAAAAGAGGCACAATAAGATTGCCCAAATGATACACCGATCTCTGTGCAAAAAGTACAATATCAAAGTAGCAAGATATTGGTATGAACATAATGTGATTGAAAATGAACTAGATTATTTGGTATTTTAGACTACAAGCTGACAAACGCGTGGATCATAATGCACCTGACATCACAGAAGCTAAAAAAGAAAAGATTTATTTAAATGACTTTGTAATCCCAGGAGATTCAAGGAGTATTGAAAAAGACCAAGGAAAACTAAATAAATACCGAGATTTAGTAATTGAGATAACACGACTGTGAAACAAAAGCAAAAAAGTTGTACCAATTGTGATTGGGTGTCATATTCCTTGGATGACGAAATATCTAGAGAAACTTTATTTAACGGACTTTACGACATTTGATTAACAAAAATTTGCTATTTTAGAACTTCTTGCATAACACAAAAATATCTGAGGGACACCTAAGCCCTGGGATGGGGTTTGTGTTACTTCAGTTTATATCAGTCTGTGGAAGATGATAACCCTACCATTAATAGTATAAACTGAAACTTTCAGCTTTGGATTTATTGTAATTATATATGTTACCGCTAAAGCTCGAAATCCGTTAATGTGTACATTACCTAGCTAATCTGCAGATTAACTAGGGTGATCCGTTAAAGCTGCGAAAATTGTTCAATTTCTCAAATTACCTAGGTAATTTGCAGAGTATCTAGGTAATCTGCACATTAACGGCTTCCGTATCGTTAAAGTTCAAAAGTTTGTTTCTTTCACTTCCTTTCCCCACTCCTTCTTTTTACGTAGATAAATTTAAATCCTAGAATGCAAGCAAGCACCGAATTGGTGAGTAAAATCAAGAAAAGATTCTTCGCAAACCTCTTTAGCGAAGATTTAAAATATAATACGTAGTGTTTTAATAACAAACCAAAGTATGATTCCATAATTGAAGATGTAAAGCAAATAAAAGTTTCCAAGAAGAAAGAATCATCTCGAGATTATCAAATAATTCAAAGGTGTGATGTGTTGACTGTACGAGGCTGTGAAAAACTCATTGAGCCGTTGTCAGATGCGCGAGAAAGGTTTGAAAAAGTTTGTCCATGCCGGAGAATTGTTTGACATTCGATAAAAACTGAAGAAGACCTTGAAAAATTAGAAGATTCACAAGAGACTGTGATTATGAGATCACAGTCAAATCTTACTCAAGAGGACATTCCGTTATCCCCCGCTTCTACAGAATCACCTATAGAAATACAAGAATTTACCGATAGTAATCTTAAACTGCCTTCTATACCGTTGATTGATGATGCAGTCACGAAGAATATTCAGTTACCCTGCACCTCCAAGGAATCGCCTCTGCAAGTTGAAGAAGTCATCACTGAGTTACTCTCAACTTCAGCAGAATCGCCATCACAGTTTCGTACGGAGCCTGTAAAGAGCACTATACAAGACATAGTCTGTATTGTTTGCTCAAAAGCAGCATCAAGTGCTCACAAGTGTAAATCGTGTAATATGTTTGTTCACGCAGTTTGTGGTGAAGTAGATCCTAAAGAGGAAGGGTATGGTAAGAATGTATTGTGCATCATCTGTAAAAAGAATATGGATCAGAAAATACAGCGTGATGAAGCCAAGAAATGTTTAGAAAAGCAAGCAAAGAAAATGTTAGCAGTTTCTAATGCAAAGCACCCAAACGTCGATGAAGGTTTCGCTGTGAGAATTAAAGTACCCGAAGAAGACAGAGCAAAAACTGATGCACGTTCAATTTTAGCTGTGGTTCTTAGTAAAACAGAGGATGGCTTTTATAAACTTGATACTAAAACAGGTATTTTAAAACAATTGTATGCAAAATCTGAATTCAGTGTTTGCAAAGAGAGATTTTTAACGAAAGAAGATGGATGTCCCTGCTGTAGAAATATCTTTACGTCAAACAGCAATAAAACAATCCCTTGGTACTGGGCAGGGTTTCAGAAAATGTGACTGCAAATCTAAATGTACCACAAATAGGCGTGCTTGTCGCAAAAACCAATTGCTACGTAATTCAAAGTGTCACCAATCTTTAGATTGCACTAATAAGTAAGTACAATTTTATCATATGTTTTGCAAATTCATTTCCCTAATTGTAGTAATATTTTAAACCGTTTGATTTTTGTATTAAAGTTTTTTTAATTGATTGATGATTGATTCAATCAACTAATTTGTTGATTGTATTAACTTGATTCTTTAGATATTGAAAATTAAATAAATAACATTATGTTAATTTAAGCGTACAGAAACGTTGCTGTTGTTCCAGCAAAAATCTTATTTTCACTTTACCGAGTGCCTAGTAGGTAATTTGCAGATTACCTAGATAATCTGCAAATTACCTAGGTAATTTGAGAAATGGAACAATTTTCGCAGCTTTAACGGATCACCCTAGTTAATCTGCAGATTAGCTAGGTAATGCGCACATTAACGGATTTCGAGCTTTAGCGGTAACATATATGTATATGTATATATATAAATGTATACATAGATCTGCATACAAATATATATATATATATATTTGTATGCAGATCTATGTATACATTTATGTAATTTTGAAACGGCAACATTGAGTTTGAATCTCTCATTAATTAATGTTGACCAAATCATGCTATCTAAAACAGAAAGAAAAATGAAGATCACTTATAATGTACAACAAATTGTCATTTATCACAATGATGTGTTATGATTTATTATTATAACTTCATAACTATGATTTTTATAAAAAGTAATTTAAAATTTATTTCAAAAAATGATATTAGAAGTTTTAATTTAAAGTCGGATTTCTAGTTTTTTTTTTTTTTAATCCATTCATACTAATGCAAGCTCGTCCTAAATGTTATTAATATCAATTTTTAAAATACTGTATAATGTGTGGTTTACTAATTAAAAGTTTATTATTTTCCAATTTTAAATACTCATTTTATCATGTATCGCTTCGGGATATAATACATTTAACTTCATCGAAACTTGTCAAAGATTTTGAAAAAAATTAGCTTTAATGAAATATGATGGTAAAATTCAATTTATATATTTATTAAGAAGTTTCAAATTGTAAAATTATAATAAATACTTTACCGATTATATGAAAATTTTATAAAAAATTTCAAATCTTCAGGTATAAAACTTCGTTTTTTTTAAAGTTTTCATTAATTTGTATTAAAACTTATATATACACATATTGTATTTTATTCTATACACAGTAATTTTATACATATAAGAATTTTTATCAAGTTATTTTGTGCTTTATTAGAATATAATATATAATATCATAAATAAATAATAAATGTATGGTTATTTTTAAAACAAAAATTTAATAAAATATTTACGAATCTAATTGACGGTAAAAATATATAAAATTACTACATATTCCTTTATTTTATTTAATGCAGATTATATATGAATTTCAAAACTGTGCTATTATTTTAATTAATGGCAACCATTTAGTGCATATAATCACTTTAAATTTGTTTAGAAACAAACTAATAACATGTAAACTTTTGTTTCATATGTTGAAAATAATTTACAATAATTAGAAATTTCTAAAATTTGCATAAACTAATAAATTAATTTTATTTATGTTGATTATCTTATTTCTAGCTTCAAACTATTGTATTATAAGAAATTGTAAAGATTAAAGTAGTTATGCTATGTTTTCTAAACAATAATATTCNAAGTAAAATTTTAAAGCTATAAAATTCTTCATAAATCTTATTTGATGATTTATGTTATTTATTACTATATAAAATATATCTGATAGGCAGATGAACACGTTAAACATGAGTTATATTCATGTTGACAGTTAATATGAGCATACTTTCTAACTCGATACATTCTTCTCTGTTATAAACAACATTATCGTACAATTGCTTATCACAGTAAACAACATTCATAACAAATAGTTGAAGGAAATTATGTTAATGGATTGTTGTAACTTCCAAAATACAGGAATATTAAACAAATATTACTTGAGAATAAGTAAACGAAATATTATTTGGGATATTGTAATGAATAATAATTTTGTATGTAATAAAAATTTGGTATGTAAAGTTATGAATTTTATAAATAAAAACAAAACTATATAAAATTGGAAGAATGATTAAAATTTAAATTACTACAATTACTTCATGAATTATTCCTTTTAAACGTATTTAAAAATCAAAATTAAGAAACTTTGATAAAGCGTGACAATATTTTGTATGAAAATTTTAATAAAAATTCTTGTCAAACTTCACTATCGTACTTTTAATCTATTCAAATCTCTAACTTGTTTAGTTAACTATTTTTTCGTGTTTGTTATTAATATGCTAATTAAACATTATTATTAACATAATAATTATTTTAAGCTGTTTTCTATCCGATAAAAATGCAGAAATTTTGTCGTGATTATTTTTTATAATNAATCGAATTTATTGCATTTTTCGCAGTTTCCGGGTGCCCTAAATCCAAAAAATGTAAAAAAATTGATATATCATTGAATATAGTAAATATTTTATTAGTCATTCCTTAGTTATAGATTCACAGATCGTATCTCTTATATTATCACAATAGTATTCAATTAAAATTAATATACTCCAAAATTTCAGAAAATCAGATTGCCATTTACTTTTTCCCTAAATCAAAGAAAATTTTTGGTGGCAAATGTTTTCTGATCGAAGATAGCAAAGATTGGAAAGAAAATTCGCTTGTATGATGTTAGGACATAAAGACATAAAGCTTAAACAAATATCGTTTATTGGCATCTGACAAGGATTTTTCAGATGTAACAAGTTATGGATAGATCCATGATTGATTGCTTTTTTCCTTTTTCAATAATAATATTTTTATTTTGAAAGTGTATTAATAAAAATACTAAAGAATTATTGTAAATTATAATACAAGAAATAAATAAGCGAAAAAGAAATATAAAAATGCAATCTTATTTGTAAATTATATTAAATTTACAAATAAAAGTTTTTAAGAGCAATCTCTAATGCCAATTAACATTGGATAATACCGATATGAAAATATTTATTGACATTAAATCCGATATATATTTTTACTTTGATTCCTACCATATTGTATTACTATTTATATTATATATATTGTTAGTGTGTTAAACAATCTTTTATTATAATAACTTATTCATTATAGTAACAATTCATTAGATAATTAGAATTAAATTAAATTTTTAAACTCAAATCACAAATAAGAACTGTTTTACTTGAATATTTAATAAAATAAACCAATTGAAACCGATAAGACAAAAAGCAAACGTGGTTCCGCCCGGGATCGAACCGGGGACCTTTCGCGTGTAAAGCGAACGTGATAACCACTACACTACGGAACCACCGCAAAGAGTAGTCAAAATTAATTTCTTTTAATTTATATCATTATTTTTAGGATACGAAAATGAAAGCCTTCACAAAATCCTAAAACAAGTAGAAAAGTCAGTGCCTGCCATGTTAGATAGATGGAAAATAGATATTAATACTGTTAACAATATCGATGTTAGAGGAGATCCTATTCCTTGTACCATTTTCAATAATTATTTCTCTGTTGGAGTGGTTAGTTTTTCTGTTTTAATATTTTGCAATAAAATGTTTTAATAAAACAATATTTATAAAATAAATAAATACTTCAAACTTCGAAATAGCATTCTCATAAATAGTGACACCCTCGTAAAGCGCTAAAGAATACTCGTGAAATAATCGTTCCCACATATATTAACCTTTCAGTCTGTATTGTGAATTAATAAAATATACTGTACTAGTTTGCATTTTAAAAATGTCATTGTTCTCATCAAATTCGACGATTTTTAAACTCTTAAACTGAAAGACTTCATTAGTTTATATATAATTTGTATTGTTTGGAGTTTTTCGCCTTAGTGCCACACTCGATTTAGTGCCAATTCCAGGGAAAACAAATGCTAGCGCTGAATCGAAGTTTAGATGTATAGGCCTAAATTTAATTCAGTTTAATTTATTTGTTGTTTTAAAATTATTGTCAGCCTGTCAATGAAAATCATGTTTAAAATTAAGATTTTGCGAATTAAATATTAATTACATTTTTTACAAATAATCAGATTTTTAACATATTGATTTAAAGAAATCTTAAACATTTTAATTATCGATAGTTGTATTTTCATTTAAATTTGTAAATAAAAGAAATTTTTAACAGCAGAAAGTTCAACTTCTTAATTAAAATTAAATAATAGAATAAAATTTAATTATTTTCAATTATTTTTATCTCTGATTAGGAATTGTTTATTGCAGGATGCTTCTATTGCTATCAAGTTTCATTTAGAAAGAGAGAAACATCCTGAAAAGTTTAATAGCAGGTATTTTATTTTATTAAATTGTTATATATTTTATAAATTAGTAGGCCTTTGTATTTGAATGCATCTTATTCAAATAAATTAAAACAAATTTTTCTTGTGTATGTTTTACTATGTACTCGTATTACTTTAAATCGAGCCTTAATTTTAAAAACTTAACAAGTACTTCAGTTTAAGTCAATAGAATTAGTATAAAAGTTAGTTTACACAAGCTTAATTAACATCTTTAAAATAAGACAAATGTTGTATATATATTCATTTAAAAGTACAGTACTGAATATTAATCGTTATCTATCACTCATTATCCATGCATATTTACAATATATAGACGGATAGATGCATCCTAACTTGTATCCATCCTGTGGTAAATACAAATTTTTTAATGAATTTTGTATTGTTAAAATATTCTTTCTTGTCGTCATTTACATTGTATAGTTGATTCTCGCTAAGTCGAATTTTATTTTAGCTTCAATTTAAATCAATGCATTTCGTGTTTCTAAAACAAAACTGTTACGAGAGAACATTTGGATATCTCGAACTATAAGATTCTAATGAATTTACTTCATGTTTCTTTTGTTACATTTTCAAGTGGTCGCACTAAACCCACATTAAGACCATCTTCAAATCAAATATTTAATTAAATAGCCCTAAACTTGAAAAAATATACAAAATTAATTGATACATTAGAGCTTACAAAATCAGGACAAAAATGTTTTAAAAAATTTTAAGGGCATTTCACGCTTGAAGTAACATATTTGTTCCTAAACGTGAATTAAAAGATCAAATTTTATATTGTTTTAAATTTTCAAAGGGGATTTCTAGAAGCTAGTCAAATGTGAAATAAGAAGCGCGATGCCTGGTAATGCGCTCCTTATAATTATGGTAATAAATATATAAATTTCACAGCCGTTTTATTTAAAACGAATTATCATTGGTTTGCTTAGCCAGCTTACTAGATCCGCTTTACCAGGTAACGCACTCAAGATGTTTTCGAATCGACCAATCATATCTAAGATATTTTCAAGTGGGAAATCGTAAATTATCGACGTTACGCTCGTATGACAAACTTTTTTCACAATTAGTATTAATTAATATTTTATTTTGTATGTGTTCAAACCTATGAACTAATAAAAATATAGCGATTTAAGTCTAATTTATTGTTTGTATCACAACATTGAAATATTAAAGTAATGATAATTTCGTTAACTTGAAAATTCGTCTCTATTCTTTCCTTCCACTTGGAGTTATCAACTATATATCATATTTGTGTAAAATTTCAAAGTATAAAGAAAATAATTGATTAATTTATAATAACAGATATGAAAATTATATTTACTTTAAAATTAAACTGATTATGAAAAAGCCGAATGGCGACTTCTTCAGAATAATGTTTTTCAAATATCCGGTATGTGAAAAACACTATAATTACTCATTAAATTCAGCTTTTCTATAATAAGGAATAGAAAAAATATTAAGCTGAAGAATCAATCTCGTCTTTAATTTGTTTGCATTAAGATCAAAAATTTTCACAAGTTTTCTAATTCATATTAACGAATAAGCTTACAATTTCAATTTATATTATAGAAAAGTAGACTGAACGGATTTTTTTGAAATTTTTAAAATAGTATATTTCATTGATAATATTAATATTTTAATTTAAATGTAGATTTATTTATAGCCGGACTGTTTATGGAATCTTTTTGTTTTATTCATATTATAACACAAAACTCACAGATTATGTTTGGTATTCGAGGTTAGTTTACTTTCAAAATGAATTAAAGTATAAAAATGTTTAAGATCATCATAAAAGAAATTATTTTATTAACACACTAACATATATTATTTTGTTTTTTTACTCTCACATTTATCTAACTTCTATTTAATCTATTCAAATTCATGAAGAAACTTATTTTCTGTCGTTAATTACAGTACTCGTTGTTCAATTAAGATCTGACAGTAGATGTTCTTGTATTTTCTTTTATTATAATCTCGACTTCGTTCGAAAATTTTTAAAATAATATGAAGATTGTTTCGAAAATTTCTAAGTTAATAGATTTATTAATACATTTTTAATCCCATAAATTTTAATATCTCGAACTAAAAATTTCTGTATATTTGAAACCTGTTTATGACGAAATTTCTGTTATTACCTATAATTTATATTTCTTGTTATATCATATTTTGATTGTTATAGAATCAGGAAACAATATAATTTTTGCATTATATAACATCCTTATTTACAGATTCCTGTTTTGTATCCTTATCTACTTAGACCTTGTTTAGCAATAGGACTCGTTATACTGGCTTAGTTTCCAATTAGCAAATAGAGGAAATCTTAATCAAAAAGTCAAAACAAAATATCTTTATTATCATCTTCATTACTAAACAAGGTCCAAGTAGACAAGGATANATCCAAAATTTTCACAAGTTTTCTAATTCATATTAACGAATAAGCTTACAATTTCAATTTATATTATAGAAAAGTAGACTGAACGGATTTTTTTGAAATTTTTAAAATAGTATATTTCATTGATAATATTAATATTTTAATTTAAATGTAGATTTATTTATGGCCGGACTGTTTATGGAATCTTTTTGTTTTATTCATATTATAACACAAAACTCACAGATCATGTTTGGTATTCGAGGTTAGTTTACTTTCAAAATGAATTAAAGTATAAAAATGTTTAAGATCATCATAAAAGAAATTATTTTATTAACACACTAACATATATTATTTTGTTTTTTTACTCTCATATTTATCTAACTTCTATTTAATCTATTCAAATTCATGAAGAAACTTATTTTCTGTCGTTAATTACAGTACTCGTTGTTCAATTAAGATCTGGCAGTAGATGTTCTTGTATTTTCTTTTATTATAATCTCGACTTCGTTCGAAAATTTTTAAAATAATATGAAGATTGTTTCGAAAATTTCTAAGTTAATAGATTTATTAATACATTTTTAATCCCATAAATTTTAATATCTCGAACTAAAAATTTCTGTATATTTGAAACCTGTTTATGACGAAATTTCTGTTATTACCTATAATTTATATTTCTTGTTATATCATATTTTGATTGTTATAGAATCAGGAAACAATATAATTTTTGCATTATATAACATCCTTATTTACAGATTCCTGTTTTGTATCCTTATCTACTTAGACCTTGTTTAGCAATAGGACTCGTTATACTGGCTTAGTTTCCAATTAGCAAATAGAGGAAATCTTAATCAAAAAGTCAAAACAAAATATCTTTATTATCATCTTCATTACTAAACAAGGTCCAAGTAGACAAGGATACAAACAGAAATTGATAAAGAGTAAGGACGTAGAGGAAAAACAATTAATTCTTATGTATAGATTTATTCATAGTTAAATTTTATGTGTTTTATTATCTTTTTCGTCAAAAAGTTATTTATAACATATATAAAAATATTTAAATTCTATTATATTATTTTGACGGCAAAAGATTAAATATTATGTCGGATAATTCATCATTTTTTTTTTCTTTTATTAAATTAAAATCTTCGATTTACATACGCAGAAAATTCTGTATTTTACTAACAATAAGTAATATGAAAAAATCTATTTTAAACTTTAATTAAAATGAAATAATACGTAAATTGTATTTTATCAATTTCTTTTTCGGTTCTTGAACGAAATTGATGGAAAGATTAAATAAATTGAAAATATTACAAAAGAATAATAGATTTTTTAAAATAAATTAAACAATTTATAAAGTTCTGCGACTATTTTCTTTTGTTGTGTATGCTTTTATTTGATTGTATCATTGAACGATGCAATGAATTTAGATAATGCAATTAGCAATTTTAATAATAAATGCAGCTATAAATGAATGTTAAATAAATAAAAATGGCCACAAATTAAGCCTGCAAATACGCTGTAATACGCTGTAAATATAAATAATAGCATTCCTCAAATGAATCAATAAAATATAATCAATTTTTTAAAAATATTACATTTTTAGCAGCAGTACAGTGCATAAACAAATAGAAAAATTTAAATAATAGCTCTTTATTTATTTGTTTACTCTATAAATGACAGAGTACAGAAATTGTTTTAAATAGGCTAAAGTTTTTTTTATTTTTTAATTCTTGAATAAATAAAAGACTTTTCCATTGAATATGATTGAGAGAATAAGAATACATCTGAATGGAGTGTTTCTCAAACATTGGTACAGTAATCTATAAAGAATAATGGATTATTAATTAATCACTATCAAATATACATGTATAAGGTTAATTTGTTTTAACAAATAGAACAGTCTTCTAAAATTCGTTAAAATAGAGTAATAGCCTATCTGTTTTCTTTGTAATGCAATATTAATACAGAGTGTAACTGAACTCGATGCCAATATTTTAGGGATTGGTTTTAAGTAAAAAGTAAGCTTAAAATCCCATATAAAGCTTTTCAAAATCCATTTTGTTTTCGAGATGTGCCTCCAAAATATCATATCGATAACTAATTTTAAACTTTCCATCAAAAAGATGCCTCCGTTTGTTTTCCATTCCTATGCTACCAATACGTACTGTACATGCTAATCGATTAATACATGCTAATCGATGTGTGCGAGTCGCTGGTTATTGTATACGATTATGCCTCCTCGTCTGAGTAAGACATTCTGAACAGTTCTTGTAAATTATTCAGTTTAAGTTTGTAAAATATCGAAATGTTATTCAATGTAAATTTACATTGGAAAACTTGCGTTCTAACTGTTTTTTTAAACTGTAAAACGGATGGATAATGCAAAATCTTAACGTGTATAAGGCTTTGTTTACAATTAATACAATAGAGCCTATTTGGAAAACATTTATTTAACTAAATCACTTGACAAAAGTAAAAAAAAAATTCAAAATTACTTAAGAAGTGCCAACTCTAGTGTTAGTACTTTAGCGGGAAATTTGAAAATGGCACAGGCAAGCCACACCTCAAAACGAATCAGATTTTGAAAAATCTTTATATAAGATTTTAGACTTAG